TTACTGTTTCCATAGTTTCATGTTTTCAAGAATATCATATGGTTGAAATCGTATAGTTTGTAGCCTTTTCACATTGACTTCTTTCACTTAGTAATATGCATTTAAGGTTCTTCCATGTCTTTTCATCGCTTGATAGCTCATTTCTTTTTATCTCTGAGTAATATTCCATTGTCTGAATGTATCAGAGTTTATTTATACATTCAGCTACTGCTAGACATCTTGGTTGCTTCAAGTTTTGGAAATTATGAATAAAGCTCTTATAAACATTCGTATGCATGTTTTTGTGTGAACATGTTTTCAACTTATTTGGGTAAATACCAAAGAGCAAAATTGCTGGATTGTATGTAAGTTTTGTAAGAAAATGCCAAACTTTCTTCCAAAGTGGTTGTACCATTTTGCACTCCCCTGTAGCTTGTTAGCACTTGGGAAATGTGTAGGCCATACACGGTACCACCAGTATAGTCTCTGAGGTACCAAGATCAGGTGCAAATGGTATGTTGACTGTGCAGCATCCTTAGGGAAGACTACTGCATAGAATATACTGACTCCTTCTGGCCTGTGGAGGGTCTAGAGGGTCTAGAGGTCTGCTAGACCTGTTTGAGGGGATGGCAACTATTAATATTAATCTCCAGCTTTCAGCTCCAATTGCCCCATCCATTGATGTCCCTCCTTTCTTCCTCAGCTCTCGCCTATGCCCAATTCACTAAGACTCCACTCTAGCTTATACCTCCCTATCCCAGCCACATTAACCTGAGGCAGAAAACCCAAGTATGTGAGGAGGTTCCCAGCTAACTCCTATTTTTTTCTACCGAGAAGTGTACGGGCTGGAGGATGTTATTATAGTAACCCAGCTCCCCCCTGAGAAATGTAGCAAGCACATTTGAGTCTTTCACTAAATAAACCTGAGATAGTATCTTTAACTCTTCCACCCTAACTTTTGCAAATAATTTTGTTACTCTATTAAAATCTGCCTCATTTTACCATTAGTTGGTCTAAGAATTAGGCTTTGAATTTCCAAGCTTTCCTTTGAACTTATTCTCTTTCAGACTTTCTTTGTGTCTATCTAATTGGAGTTGTAATTAGATTCTCCTCTCTACTGGCTAAAATCTTCAGGTTAAAAATCTGTAAGATGGCTTTTGCTCCTCTTCAAAATATGACCTCAGCAATTCTAACTTTAGCTCAAAATACCACACACAGTTCATGGACAAATGATTTTTTAGTTACTGAGCCTAAAATGTAGCATCTGTATCCACATGTGGATGTCCCAGCCATGATCTTATGTGGAGAGTGTCAATACTGTCTCTCACTGTTCCTCAGTCCTTCACTGTTCCCTGCGCCCCAGATCATTTCCGTTGGTATATTTTCGGATCAGTGTGACATTTAGAATTTTTTTCCCTTCATTTAATTTGGTGACTTCTGGTGTGGGAGAAGTCTCCTGAACTTGGAAACAGCAAACCAGTTTAAAAAGTTAGTTTACCGGTAAAATCTTGATTACTAGCAGAAATGAAAGAACAGTCTTATATGTCTAATTAAAACCTATGAACCAAATATCAATTTTTTTTTCCTGAAATTCAAATTGTTTTATTTCTGGGAGCTTTTGAAAAGTAGATATTGTATATGATTTTTAGTTTTATCTCTATTGTCTCTCAAATTCAACAAGGAAGGGCATCACTCAGAAGAATATAATCATGGCTATCTATCTAACATGACCATCTATCTAACATGACCATTTGGAATACCCAAATTTGTGAGCTCCATGGCAGAAAGAGAAAGAAAGGACAGCCCTGGTAGATCAAATAAAAGCAAAAAAAGGTAGTGGGAAGTGCTGCATGGCCATGGTTTGCTTTTCGGCCTTATTTCCAAATATCCCTATGGTTTGGGATGTGCTCATTTAAGGAAATACGGGGAAAAGGTTTGAGTTAGAGGAGCTCCTGGAAGGTGGTTGTCGTGCATGAAGGACCTGCCGTACTATATTTTGGTGACTTGTGGTGTAGGCAGAGAGCAGGAGGTCTTTAGGGACATTCAAGAATATGCAAAGCGGGATCAGCACAGGTCAGAAAGCAGAGTAAAGGAAAGTGACCTGGGGGAAGCAGTTAACAACAGAGAACCAAAGTTTCTTTCCTTCATAGGAATCATAATTAGCCTCTGTTATTCTTTCACTGAACATAATATATACAGAATATTGTCCTAAATACTGTGGGAGATACAAAAATGAATGAAGCAGTCCTTAGCCTTATGGAACTTAAAATTTTTTAGAGATAATACATGTACATAAAAACTACAATACAGAGTAAAGTATGAGAAGTGCTTTAGAGAAAGAACAAAATAATTCAAAGAGGTTTTGGGTGGAGGGTAATTTTATCAGGGACAATAAGAAAATTATTCTTGGCAGAGGTGATAGTCGAGCGAGGTCTTGTAGAGTGATGAGAACATTGCACGACCAGAGGAGGATGTGTTCAGCAAATAGAGAGGAACATTCAGTGTTACAGGAGCACTGAGTACAAGCGAAACAAAAATTCTATTGGTTGTTGGCAGATTGTAAAGGGCCTTACATCTATAGTGACTTGGATTTAGTCTCTATTTGTCAGGCGAAGGAGAAAGCAGTGAAGATTTGAGAGCATGGGAGTAACATTATGGAATAGCATCATAAATGCAATTTGCTAAGTGGATAGAGTAGGGAGAGGTTGAAGGTGGGGAGATCGGTGAGAGTAGGTGAGATAATAATAATATGGCGTTAATAATAATGGATGATTATTCTAGAATGTGCTACAGCACTGCAGGTCATGACCCGTTAGATTGTAAAATCAATTTACTTGGTGGGGCAAGCATTTTTAAAAAATGACGTAGAATAGAACAGAAAATATTTTATTTTATTGCAGTTAGTAAGGTAAGTGTTGTTTTATGAAACTTCATTTCAGTTTTTAATATAAACGTATTTTGTTATATACTTATGGAGCTGTGATGTAAAATATATTTCTTACTGTAGATTGTGGTCAAGACAGAGAAACTCTACCAGAGGGTCTATATATAAAAACCTATCTTCATGGTAATGGTTAATAGCACTCTGAATATGGTCTAGTTTAGGCAGGGCTTTGAGAGAAATCCTGCAAGCACATTTGTGTGTGGGAAGATCAGTCTGTATTTGAAATAGCCACTGACTGAAGCCTCAGTCATTTCTTCTGCTATTTCTTTTAGGAATATGATAGTGAATGTTCAGTTTGATCAGCAGACTCTTGTTTTTGAATAGTCACTGTCATAATTTTGAGGTATCTCTCACATTTCTGAAAATGATCAAATGCCTTCAAAACAGTAGTTCTCAACAGGGGACAAGTTTACCCCTTGGGGACATTTGCCAATGTCTGCAGATATTTTTGGTTATCGCAATTTGAAAGGAAGAAGTGTGTTATAGACATCTAGTAGGCAGAGGTCAGGGGTGCTGCTAAATATTCTACAATGCACAGGACAGCCCCTCACAACAAAGAATTATCCAGGCCAAAATGTCAAAAGCGCCAAGGTTGAGTAATCCTGCTTCAGAGTGACCTACACTAGTCATTTAAAAGAAATGCAATTCTTAACAGAGTCGAAAGAAAGATTCATCCTATTGGTCTAACACAGATTCAGTGATATTATTTGTAGAATGCTCTGATCACCAACTTTATTATTAAATTTAAAATGATATGTCAATATTTGCTTACAAGTGACCCAAAATAAAATTCTGCACAGTTTAGAAATACAATGTTTATAACTCTAAGATCATTTGTTGAATCTTAACGTTAAAAGTCAGAATTATATCTTACCACCAAAATATAGAATAATTTATATACCTATGTTCACTTTCATATATGAAGAAGCAATTTTATCTTGAAGTGAGTTCAGAGAATTGGCAGCCAGCTGCCTAAGTGAATCACATCATTTAAAATTCTTAAGAGTTTCCTAATTTAAAACAGATTCAATAGAACTTGTCGAAAATTTCATAGATCTGGTGATTCAATAATTATAGGCAATCATAAAGATACTTTGTAAGGAAAAGGGCAGGTGAAATTGGTACCTGGGTTCTAGGCCCACTGGGAATACAAACTATATACAGCTTCACTAAGTCATTTACATTTGCTGGCTTCAGTTCTCTGAACCAGAAGCGTGTTGGCCCACATGACTTGTACAGTCTTTCCCAAGCTTTAAAATTCTATGAGTCTAAGTTACGGATCAATTTTTTGGTGAATAAACTGTAAATTGCTTTTAGATCATTTTAGGAGTATTTTCATGACATATCAATAGCACATGGGGGAAATTATTATAAATTAACTCAGTTTTCCAATGGTTTGAATCATATTTGGACAACATGAGTAAATGATACCCCCGCTGCAAACCTGATAGCCGGCGTTGTCACTCAGAGTAAGTTTCCACAAAGCCTTCATTTAATTGTATCATGGAATACATGAGCCTCACTCTCCTAATGTTTTCATGAGACATTTTACTTAGGGGTACATTTGCTCTTTCAGATAACTTTTTTCATGTGTTCTGTGTGGTGGGTCCTCAAAATTTATATTTCTTAAAAAAATTTTTTTTCAAACCAGTGTTTCATGGTTGCAATAGACAAACTACAGCCACAAGCATTAGGACATAATTGGCTGTAGAAAATACAAAGGAAGTAATCTTTTCTTTCTATGTGGAAAGACAATGCTCTTTGGTTCTTCAATGTATTAGCAAATTCTCAATTCTTTCTAGGCATTTAACCTTACAATAGTAATGTACAAAGCTGCCTCCTGGTGGTCCAAGCATGTAAATGCACCTATAAAATTTTAAATTTTTGTGCCATTGTTTTGGGACTGCTCATGAAGTTACCATCACCTTCAACCAATTTTTTGTAACAAAAATACAGTTTTGATTAGCTAATTACTATATATACTCATTCATTAATCCAGCTTTCTCTGAGTAAATCTGAGGGTAGAGATATCTCTGTGTGTGTGTGCGTGTGTGTGTGTGTGTACACGTACGTTAAAAAATCACCAAAAAATCAGGGACATTTCACAACAGAAAAAGGTTAGAAGATCTCTGGCTTGATTTATCACCATACTTTATTTCCTAAATATAACTTTTTTTACAAGGATCTCTCCAATGGTTTTATAAGTAGAAAATATATTTCTTATGGTGGAAAATCTCTTTGGAAAATCTGGAAGAACATGGAAAAAGGAAAAAATAGTGTTTGTAAGCTCTGGAGAAATGATAGGAATTATATAAGTGTTTCCTGAACTCTTCGAGTTTAAAAAGTTTCTCACTTAAGGGGACACCCCTGAAAAAGACATTCTAAAACTCTTATGGATTATCCTCAAAAATTTGCATTGCTCCTCTTTTATACTCCAGTTTGCATGATTTAAAGAACTGAGTATCTCCGCTGTAGTTTTCAAGCCAGGCTAAACCGACTCACGATTTTACAAATTTAAATCCCTTATAAATTGGCTATGGGTTATTTGTTCATTAAAGTGATTCTAAAATTAATCCGGTCATTTAATCTCACTTCATTGTACTACATCCACTGAATATTTGGATTCTCATACATGTATGGCCTGCATACAGCTCTCAATGTTTAACTTTTATAGTGAATCAGAGGCCCGTTTTTGAAGCAATCCAGTTTCGGTAATAAGCCACATTTGTGTAGACTCCAGGTTTGTTCTTTTGACCACAGTTATCTCCCCAGCTCACAATTCCAATGAGATACCAGGTATCTTTAAGATCCTTTATAACTAAAGGTCCCCCAGAATCACCCTGAAAATAAAAAAAGAAATAGAAAAAGAAAATTAACTAAATATAAATTTTATTACTTAAGATATTCTGAAGAACCACCTATTTTATTATTAGATTGTACATGTATATATTACCAATTATAGAAAAATTAATTGAAACGTGGATTTCAAGTTATAAAAGCCTTAAAGTTCAACTTCCACGTTTTAATTTTTTTTCAGCTTTTTTTTTTTTTTTGTGAGGAAGATCAGCCCTGAGGTAACATCCATGCCAATCCTCCTCTTTTTGCTGAGTAAGACTGGCCCTGGGCTAACATCTGTGCCCATCTTCCTCCACTTTATATGGGACGCCGCCACAGCGTGTCCTGACAAGCCGTGTATCGGTGCGCGCCAGGGATCTGAACCCGGGCCGCCAGGAGCGGAGTGCGTGCACTTAACCACTGCGCCATGGGGCCAGCCCTAATTTTTTTAGCTTTATAGATGCATAAGTCACAGAGAAAATGTATATGTTTAAAGTGTACAACATGACAACTTGACATATGTATACTTTGTGAAATGATTACCACAATCCCAACACCTCACATAGTTACCGTGTGTGTGTGTGGGGGGGGGGTGAGAATGCTTAAAGTCTACTCTTAGCAATTTCAAGTACACGACACAGAAAGTCGAGCTGATGTTGGTTTTCTTCTGACTCCAAGTAGGGTGCTTGGACTTCTGTTTTATCAAACAGACTAAGCCCCTCACCATGCACACCAGTTACCATCACTGTATTCTGGTCAGGACTTCTGTGACTGAGTCACTTCCTCAATAACTTCCCCAATTTTTCTATGACCAGAGCTTTGTCTTATTACTTACTTGCACAGTCATGGGGCAGGAATCTTACCTCTGCTCCCCAATCCAGTAAAACCTCTTTATGACCATCAGTCCTTCTGAGGCTTATCTCTAACCTCACCGTTACCTACATTCTCATATCCTGTCTGGTCCTAGACTCCTGTTGCCACCTTCAACCTGTCTGTGATGGCACCGACCTCTCTTAGGATCCCCGAATTCTAGCTGCCCTCCTCCACTAATTCTCAGCAGCTGAGGCTAGATATGTACCAGATTCTGCTCTTGCCCAGCCTCTATGCCACAAAACTCCCTGCTCCTTTTCTGACAGAGCTTATCCATGTTGTGTAATCTGTGGGGCTCTGGACAGGGCTTTCTGCCACGTGATATCAATACAATTCCCATCTTTTCACCATGTAGAGCCACCTCCTTGGGGTCTTCAAGAATCTCACGTTATAAAGCAAGTGCCTCCAGGAAGAAATACACTTTATACATTTGTCAGAAAACACACAATGCAGGCTGGATATTGGACAACAGAGCAGGGCATTGGAAAGGGCACCAGATATTCAAAACATGGCCTAATCCACCTTCTTGGTGTTAACTACTTCTCAGCCCTCATCCTCCTCCAACAGATTACTTAGAGTTCCCTCAAATATGAATTGTAGTTTCACACCTTCATAATTTTGGCTATGCTCTTTCTCTTTTCTATAATGTTTTTTTCTTATTCTGTAACTGGGTAAGTGCTATTTATCCTTAGGCCTCATTTAAGTATCATCTCTCTGATACTTACCCCAAAAATGTTCCCTTCAAGCTAAAAAAGTTTGCTTTCCATTAAATCATTTATAACATCACATCATAGTTTATTATTCATGATTGTTTCCTTTCTAGATATGAGCCCTTTAAGGAAAGAGACTCTACTTTATGAGCCTTTAGACTTCTGGTATTAAGAAAATTTAATTTTATTGGTTAGTTTGTTTGATAGCATCAAAGAATCTGTTTGCTTATTTCATTTTGCTTAATAAAACATTTAAAAATGTGTTTGTGTTGTGAAATTTGCATTTAGAAATTTTTGAACTTACAAGATATCTGTATTTTGTATTAATATAAAGAACAGAGAGTATTTCTTGAGCCAGATAAAAATGTTTTTAGTTAATGATATCAAAATAATCTTTCCACCTACCCTGCAAGCATCATAAATTCCTTCCAGATATCCAGCACAAAACATTCCAAATTTTATATCACTGCCATACACATGTGGTTGCTTGCACACGTCATCACTTATGATTTTCAGTCTGGCTTCTCGAAGGTTGTTTTGGGATTCCCCTTAAGGAAAAACAAAGTAGTTTTAGTGTTTACAATCAGCATCCTTAGCTAGAATGACGTGAGGGGACTTTTTTCTAATCTTTTTCATACTAAAATTTTCAGTACAGAATGAGGTTAACGTAAACAATTTCTAGAGAATAAATTTCTGTTTAAAATCGGGCGCATTTAAATGTTAATTATTGGCCATATCACATTTTTATAAATAACCTATACTAGCAAAAAAACCCTATTTTGTTTCTTTTCCTGGAAAACATTTGTACCTTTACTTTAAAAACAGTCAGTTTATGTATTAAAGAAGGCATTTATTTTTAAAAATAAAATGTATTTGTGGATTCCATACTGTTCCCAGGAACTTTCCAGGTCTAGATAGTTTTCTCCACCAGCTTGATAAAACTATAATACTATGTACATTTATTTCATCCTTTACATTTTATGAAGAACCTTCACACATATGATATTTAAAGGCAATGATTTAATTTCTTATGTATTACAAATTTGGGACTCCTGATTATAAACTAGTTGTAGAAACCTGAGTCGTAGAAACCAGTATTATGGCAGGAAGACAACTGCCTGTGGTGGAAACAGAATATCACAAGCATTCAGAGATTATTTATATCAAACCATACACTGATCAGGAAACTGACACTGTAGTAGACAGAATTCTACACTAATCCACAACATTCCTATGTCATCTCCTTCCCTCCAAGTATGGGTGGGATCTGTGAATATGATGGATGTCATTCTCGTGATCAGGTTATATAATATGACACAGGTGAGGAAATTTTGCACATGTAATTAAGATATAATCAGTCTGACACTGAGTTCATCAAAAGGGAGATTATCCAAGGTGGACCTGACCTAATCAGGTGAGCCCTTTTGAAAAGGGCTTAGGCCTTCCCTGAGTTCAGAGACTTTTCCCTAATGGTGCTGAAGAAATAAACCGCCAGGAGTCCTACAGCTGTAAGAAACTGAATCCCACCACCAACCAGTGAACTTGGAAGAGAACCCAGAGCTGCAGATGAGACCAGAACCCCAGCCGATATGGTACCTTGTTGCTGTTTTGTGAGACACTGAGAAGAGGACCCCAGTAAGCTGTGTCTGAACTTCTGATCTGTGGAAATTGTGAGATAATAAATGGGTACTGTTTTAAGCTGTTAAGTTTGGGGTAATTTGTTACACAGCAGTAGAAAACTAATATAGACACCAATTTCTGTAGAATGCCAATTCAGGATTTATTTCTGGAGAAGTGTTTGCTAAAATATTTTAAAAGTGCTCAAGTTATTCTGTTATTTGAATATAATTGGTGTATTTTTTGTTTGTTTGTTTTTGCCTACTACATTATCAATTAAAAAAATTCACGTCCAGTGCCAGGAAGGGGAAGGTGAAACTGACAATCTACATATCATAGGTGATAGTGTAAATTCACAACTTTTTCAGAAAACTAGTTGGCAAAAAGTCATAAAAGTATAGCCCATAAATCCTGGACATTCCTAAACTATTTCTCAACTACTGTGGGAATGCTTAATGACATTTCTCACAAAATATTGATTTTTTTCCTAAGAATCAGCTTTTTATTTCATTAATTTTCTTGCTTTCAATTTTATTCATTTCTATTCTTATCTTTATTATTTCCTTCCTTCTGCTTGTTTCAGGTTAATTTTTCTCTTCTAGTTTCTTGAAGTGGGAGCTTAGCTTATTGATTTGAAATCTTTATATTTTTCTAATGTACACATTTGCTATAAATTTCCCTCTCTGCACTGTTTTAGCTGCATCCTGCATATATTGATATGTTGTTTTTTCATTTTCATTCAGTTCTATGTATATTTAAAATTTTCTTCAGGACTTCCTCTTTGACCTGTGGATTATTTAGAAATGTGTTGTTGAATTTCTAAGCATTTGGAGATTTTCCTGTTATCTTGCTGTTACTGGTTCCTAGTTTGATTCCGTTATGATCAGAGAGCATACTAAGTATGATTTCAATTCTTTTAAATTTGTTGAGGATTGTTTTATGGACCTAGATATGGTCTATCTTGCTGCATGTTTCATGGGTGCTTGAAAAAAGTAGGTATTCTGTTGTTCAGTATAGTGTTCTATACATGTCAGATTCTGTTGCTATTCAAAAAGTATTACAGCAGGTATATTTCTGTGCCAATCTCAAACTCCAGGCCAGACATGATTCTTCCCACCAAGCTAAAAGGAATCTGAGATGCCCCTCCCACCATCATGAAGCAGAGAATGCCAACTCTATGGTAGGAGAAAACCCATTAGAGAGAATGCAAACATAGAGGTGTCAGGCTTACAATTCTACTCAGCCACCCCTGGGATTACTAAGCTATGAATGACAATTTCTGCAATTAGTAATATGGCCTTAAAGAAAGCAATACGTATCTCAGCTTGTGTAATATGGAATGGAACCACATGGGACATCTGTAGAAAATCTAGAGACCATCAAGCCTATTCGGCCACATTAGTGAAAGGTATTCCTAGTTCCTTAGTGGATACTGAGAATTAAAGCTTTATTATTTAGAGCTTATTGTATAAAAATAAGTTGTATAGAGCTCTGTGAATGGATTTGGTCATTCTCAGAAGACTCTTTCTTAACTTCTCAAGCCCAGAGTTAAAGAAACTCTCTTACTGTTGTTATATGTATGTACCTGGACCCAACTTTAGAAACCAGAGTGTCTCTGACTAAACATTTCTCAAAAACATTAAAAAACAAGATTATTTTTATTTCTTAGGAAATTAAGTTAGCATATCAAGTTAAATCATTTTAGAGAGGGCAATGGAAGCTTTTTTTTATCAGAAATGATTTATCTCTACATAGTATTTTCATTCCTGATCATTCTTAAATTACTCTCTCTAGTTCTGAAACACATTTTGCTGCAACAGCAGATTGTAGCTGAGCCAAAGAAAAATTTGTGCGGTGACTGAGGAAAGTGAAAATGAGTGATGGAGCAAACTAAGGGGAGGAGGAGATGAAAAGGATAAAGAGATGAGGCTCACAGAGATGGGTCTCAAAGTAAGGGAGTCTTGGAGTGAAGGTGGGATGAGGATTACAACATATCTGATATATACCTGACATTGCATAGAGAACGGCACATAAAAATAGAGTTTAGTGTTGCTGAGGAAACATTTGCTTCTTTTATGTCTTCCTTGAAGCCCACCCTTTTGGAACTGCCTCTCCCTCATTCTGTGTGATTCTGACCTGGCTGTCAGATTCACATACCTGCCTTTCTTGGTAAAGGCACAGGAGTGAGTATTTGAGTTAGCCAGTCAATCTGAGTACCCCTGGAAACAAGCTGGGCCAAGAGAGACCTTTTCAGGGATTCATGTAAGATTCTGGCAAAGAGAGTGACTTGTTCTTCCCTTGGCATCTACTAGGTGAAGATGATGTAAACTCTGAGCTGTTGTTGGCCATCTTTGCCACTATGTGGAGCTAGAATCCCTTTATATGAAGGTGACCTAGGGGAAAATAAAGCCAAGAAGTGGAAAGATTCAGAGATTCAGAACCTGATGACATGGTAAGAACTCCTGAATCCAGCTGTATCTGAAGCGAGACTCATCTCATCTCTCGGCAAACTACAAGGGCCAAATTTGCCGTTTTATTATTACTTTTTCTTTAGTTAACTTGAGTTTCTGTCACTTGCAAAACAAGAGCCCTAGCTAATTCAACCAAGCTGTGTGGAAATGGCTAGCAGGATAATATTCACGGAGATTAAATCCTACTGCCCTAAATAGCACTTAGTGCTCTGTGATCCTTTTTGAGATACCCACCACCATAGAAAAGTGCTCCAAACCCTGTGATATAGACAGTTGAATTTGGTTGGAAGGATGCAGAGGCTTCTGGCAAACAAACCCGGCGAATGTCATCAGTAAAGGTGACTCTGGGAGAGAACTGCACAACAGCAATGTCGTACTCTCTTTCTGGGGAGTGATACTTCTCATGGACAATGATTCTTTTGATATTTCTTTTCATTAACGGAGGGTTGATTGTTGTTCCAAAGCTAACAGTCCATTGACGTGGATTTACATTACTAGAAAAGGTTAGAAATGAACAGAATATCAGAACTGCACTATAATAATTGCATGTAGGCTAGTAAAAGAGAAAATTCCATCCTAAAAATATTTGGTTGTAATGATAGTTTTCTTTCATCATTATAAATATAGTCTATTGGTACTATTTTGAAAGAGAAAATATATACAGACAGCATCTTAGAGCTGAAAATCAATACAGAATTATTGAATTTTAGAACTGTAAAGCACACAAAATATCATTCATTTGTCTCTTCAGCAAATATTTATTGAACATCTATGTGCTGAGTCTAATTCTAAGTGTTGGGGATAAAATGGTGAACAATAGAGAAAAAGTCCCTGCTGGTGGGAGTATTCCATTCCAGTAAAGGAAAAAGAGTAAAACAAGTTAACAAATGGATAAATAACTTAAAACGGTGATAAGGGCTATGAATAAAATAAAATTGGGCAATGAAATAGAGTACAAGGAGGTAGTCAGATGAGTCTCTTCTGAGAACATGACATTTGGGCTGAGACATGGTTAATGAGGAGTCAGTTGTGAGAAAATAGGGAGACAAGTTTCCAGGCAAACTTCCCAAAGCCTTCGACCAGATGGGCTGCAGTTCAGGCCACAAGGGAAGAATGGTGGGGGATGAGGTTAGAGAGGTAGGTGGCGACTAGATTTTAAAGTGTCTTATAGGTCATGAACAAAGTGCTTAGATTTTGTTCAAGTGATATGGGAATTCACTGGATGATTTTAAGCCAAGAGTCACATAGTCTCATTTACATTTAAAAAAAATCATATTAGTTCTTTCTGGAGAATAGATGGTTGGAGGGCAAGAGTTGATGAGGTAGAAGCTGTCAGGAGTCCTGTGAGAGATGATCAAGTGTGGGTGACTTCTAACTTGTGGGCTGGAGCAACTGGTGGCTCATGGTACATATAGGGATTGGAAAGGTCATCTAGTAATGAAAGATCCTCTAGTAAAGGCTTTGTTTTATACTTAAGGAAAATAAGACCTAGATGAGTTAAACTATTTGTCTAGTATCACCTCTCTGCTTGCATCTCTCTGCTCTTCTCTTTATAAGACACAACCTCCCACCAGATCTGTTTATTAATAGCAAGATTAATTTTCCGTAACTAATTATTTGAACTAACATCATCCATGAGGAATAAGAAAAGAGACAGATACTGCCCATACTTGTTTCTCAAGCTAATTATTTCTTAATGGGTAGCTTTAGTCGTAGGAAGAAATATATAAACATATCAGTGGGTTTTAAGTCCAATTTGACAGCTGTTAATTATGTTGAGATTCTTGTTATTTTTACTTTTAAGGCAATTTAAAATTTTGTTTTTATACACAATTTTGCTGTGCAAAAATACTCTAATGAGAAAAGCTAAATAAAGATTGGTTTGTGAACACAATTGTTCATATAGCATAAATATGTTGACATTTTTGCTTATATATCAGTCTTTTGTGAGTTTTGTTGGTACAAATCTGATCCCTCAACTTAATCATGCCTAGATGAACTTAACATAAATGAAGTATTTTAAACACGGAAATGCAAAGGACAGACCTTGAATTGTATTTACTCAAATGAGAATGATCATTCTAGAACTTTCAAACAATGGCCTGATACTATTTAATAAAGCTTGTGTTTATTACATTTGTGGGTGACAAACCTGAAAGACATACCCGACATGAGTGATGCTAAGTGAAGATTACAAATAAATTTTCTAAAATTTTAATCTGGGCCCAAATCAACACGATGGCAATTTAATGATGATAAAAATAAAACAGTAATTTAGATCCTCAAACAAACTGTAACAATTCAAAGTTGTGACACCTGGTCTGGAAACCATCCCTGTAAAAAGGATCTGGGAGTTTTGTTGATTCCTAGTTTAAAAATAACCAATCATGTGATGAGGTTTCTTAAAGTGTTAACTCAATATTAGATGGCAATAATATCAAATAACCTCAGAGTGGGAAAGGCCATAAAAAGTCATTTAGTCCCCTCACTGATCCAATGCTCGAAGGATGGGACTTGCCATGAGGAAGTCATATGCTTGTATTCAACTCCACCATCACCTAACATTGTGACGTTGGGCAAGTTACTTAACTTTTCTTATTGACCTCAGTGAAAAAGCTTACCAAGCAGGGTTTACCAAATGAGGTGGGTGTAAGAACTATATAAAACAAGTCTGAATCGCCTAACCAAGTGTTTGCAGCATACTGGGCCTTAATAAATGGTAATAATTGTTGTTACAAGAACACTCTCAAGTGGAGATTGTCCATGCTTCAACCCTTCTACAGATGGGGACATCTTCTTTGCCCTAGAGTCTCTTTCTTCACATTGGAATCCCTTTCATCTTGAGCAGCTCTGACTATCGATAAATTCTTCCTTGATTCCCTGATTCCCTTCCACAGGGAAGTACCTCAGATATATAACTATAACTATCATCTTTACCAGAGCTTTCTCAAGATAAATTTTTTGTCTCCTAGGATAGTGTTTCTCAAGCTTTAATGTGCATACAAAAACCTGGGAGGCCTATTAAAATGCAGCTCCTGATTCTCTAGGCTGGAGATAGGGCTTGAGATTCTTTCATTTGTAAAAAATCCCCTAGTGATGTGAATACTGCTGCTCTGTGGACCATGCATCGAGTGGCAAGGCTGTATAGATACACTACCACCTTTCTTTACCATCCAAGAGTCCCTATGCTTTTGGCATTTTATTTTGTCAAGTTCTCTTTAAGCGTGTTGTCCAGGACAGAATTCACTATCCCAGGCAGAATCTAACCGCCAAAGAGTTTGACATCTCATTTATTCTGGGTTCTGCATTTCTTTTAATTCAGTCGAAGTCATAATGTAGTTTTGTAAACAACTGACTTATAGTGGTCTATCTTCTGACAAAAATTTCTAAGCAATTTTCACCTGTTAAAACATGTCTACTCTCTGTACTCATACTCTTGGATTTCTTTTTTTTCGACCTAGGTTAGAGCCTTGCATTTATACCTGCTAAAATTAATCATGTAGTCCTACTTAGTACTCTAACGTAATTAAAGTCCTTTTGAAATTTCTGTTTTTCTTACCCACATATTTGTTTTCCTTTCCAGTGTATGTCATCAATTACTTTGTTGAACATAACTTTCACATCGTCTGCCAAACCCAGAAAATATACTGTCTAGGATGTGGTGCAGAGTTGAGATCTTTGGTGGGCTGTGAAAAATATCCTACGTCTTTCAACAGCAATTCTTAATCATCATCCTTTGGATAGAGTTGTTTAGTTACTGAGCTACCTATTACCTTTGCATTCAGTTTATATTTATTTTTTCCAGAAGCCTTCCCATTTTACTTTGTCACTATGATATTAGTCATACTTTCTATTTTGAGAAGTGTGTTTGGTTCTTGGAAGTGTATTTGAAGGGAGACATTGACAAAATCAAGAGCATTCAGAGGAGAAGAACCAAAATGGCAGGACATCTGGGAGTTAATGCTTTGAAATAAAGTAGTGATATTCATTTTCACCTATGGTTTGGAGATTCTCACTCATTATATAATGTTTGGCCTGAAAAAGAGAAACTAAGGAATAGCTGTTCTACAGGTGAAGAAATAAATTTGATCCCTGTTGTTCCAGATAAAAGAGCAAATATCAATGGATTGAAGTTATTAGATTGCAGCTTTGATTTTCAATGTTATAAAGATATTTGCAAAAGTAGAACTAGCTACCACAAAATTGGCCAGCTTTGGAGCTAGTAAGCTCCCCATTACTTGACATATTCAGTCTCAAAGTAGGCACCTGCATAAGGGTTTTCTGTGCTTTCTAAGATATTGGCCTATTGAGCTCTCATGTCTTTCGAACTTTAAGAATCTAAGTCCCTATATAGATTTAGGCTCATAGGTAGGCAGAATTTACTATGGTATCAAAAGTCAGAATTTTGGGGCTCAAAAGGAACTTGAGAAAATATAGTCCATCTATTTCTTAACACACTATGGTTTAATAACTTGCCCAAGGTCACAGAGATCAGATCCAGCTCTCCTGCTGTCTGGGGCAATGTTTTGTCCACTAAATCCTGCTGCCACCTGCTTTACAGAGATACCCAGGAAGCCCTTGTTATCACCATGATAATTGGTACTGGAGAAAGGCCATAAGGTGAATCTACTTAGAAAGATATCCAATGTAATAGTAATAAAAAGATCTGACTGGTTATTATCTTGAAAAGTAAAACTAAAATTATGAAAAAAATAGTCATTTAATCTTATATTTAATAAAGTTTATGTTGCAACTATGCTCAGAATGGATAAATAATTAATCAAGTGTTAAGTTCATTTGAAACAATTATATGATAGCACAAATGCTATCTTTACTTCCAGTTTGCCTTTTGTAACACCATTGTCAAGAGGTGCTATGTTATGTGAAGGTCTCATTAGGTGGTCCAAGGGCCTCTCTTAATCCTTTGTCACTCAGAATCTCTTTTGAAGTGCCTGTCCTTATCATCCTGGTAATTTTCTTATTTTGGTTGTGAACTGCTCTAATTCCCTCAGATCTTTATATGTCAATGCTACAAATTTGATTTGAGCAGTTCTCCATTATCACAGTTAGCAACTTCCTACATCCATTGGAGATTTCAATTTCTCTTTGTAATTAATTTGATTACTTATGATCAACATGAGACTGGCCCAAGTGTTTGGCAGAAACAGACACTAGTATTAAGTGGAGAGGACTGAGAAAGGATTAATTATATATGTTATTAGTAAATATTTTGTGTTAGGATGACTTCTGTTTCCTTACACAATTTTTTAATTTAAAACTCTGAAGACCTGATCAATGAATACTAGGATAATGACTACTACCCCCACTAACTTTCCAAATAAATATGCAAGTGTAACATTATTTTAGAAAAGAATCTGAAAGAAGTCTTTCTCATTTTGCCTCAGCAATATTTGGGGGCATAGATTATTAATCGGAATGTAATAAAACTCAGAGTTTTTTAGCAATAATGGGGTCCAACTTAACGTCAGTAACTTACTTCTTAAAGCAGTGTGCTGCGGTGATGAGCCACGTATTACTAATCAAGGTGGCCCCACACTGATGTACGTTATTACGCTGAAGGGAAGCTTGCCAAGGCCAGGCAGCCTTGGCCGCAATTTCTCCCGACATTATTCTGTTGACTATTAATGGAACAACTCGTTTACCACAACCTGAAAGAGATGAGATCATTAAGTTATAAGAAATATCTCTATAATCTTTGATACAGAGAGCCTAATAGAGTACTGCAATGCAATATTTGCATTTGTCATTATACAAACATGTACAAATTAATATCCTCTATGTTTCCTGATATGTTGATATATTGCTCACTGTTAATTTATAGATGTGGATATATACTGCCTACTGAAGCTGAGTTAAGATGCAAAGGGTTGACACATCACGAAGTGTGTGTCCTGAGGATTTGTGGTGTCAAATATTTAGGTGACCAGGGAGTTCCTGCTAAGATTATTGTTTCCCAGTTTTAGGTGATCCAACAGTGTTATTTTGACATGAAGTCCTCACCAGAACTAGCCAAACAAGTAATTGCCCGCTTGTTGGAACTCTTTCTCCTGTATATTTTTCTGAATGGCTAGTTCCTAAGGTGTACGTGGGTTAATGTATCATAACCAGTCTCTCATTTGTCAGGATGGAGGGTTCCGTGTTTCCACATAAACACCACATTCACTATTGGTGGGAATAAATTGTACTCTATTATGTGCATCAGGTCAGACATTACTTTGCTGCTTAGGTTTCCTGCTAAGCATTAATCCTGTTTAGAGAATGGTGCTAATAAAGAAAATATAGTAGGTTCAATTCTTGTTCCAACTAATTAGGTATCAAAAAAGAAAATTCATTTCACTGGTATTGATTACACTCCAACTGTGGCCAGTCATTTTAGAAATCTCCATCACTCTTCCATCACTCTAGTTTAGACTACCATTTTTCTCATCTTGAGGACTGCAACAGCTTCCCAGTTCATCTCCCTGCCTCTAGTCTTGCTCCACCAATCCATTCTCCACACCGAAAACTGAGTGATCTTTCTGATATGTGTAAAACCCTTCAGTGACTTCTCATTGCCCTCCAAATAAAGTCGAAATGTTTCAGTATAGTTCTGGTCCTTGATCACTATTAACCACACCCCATTCCCATGCCCCCCAAGCCCCATTCTATGTTCCAGCTGCACTGACATTTTTCAATTACAGTAAATGACCATGTTCTTGCTTTTCTGAAGACATTTTTACATACTACTCCCCCTGCCCAGGACACTCATCCCACTTGTCACTTGATTCATGGCCTCTCCTCTCTGCTGTCTCAGAAATCACTTTGTGATCCCACAAGACCAGGTTAGCTGACTCTGTGATTGACTCTCATAGCACTGTGCACTTTCTCTGTCATAACATTTATCACACTATTTTAACATTTTCTGATTTATTTATGTCTTCCCCTACCTTCTACTCTTAATTTCAGAGGAGGGATTATGTCTTATTCACAGTGGTATTCACTTTCTGTCACTTGGTAGATGTTAAAAAGATAGTTGTGGAGTGAACAATAAATGAATAAAAATGTATAGTGTGTTTGCAAGACACAGAGGCAAATGAATGCACACCCTTGCTCAAATTCATCGCTACTTCTATAAAATCTTTCAAAATTTAGGCCACAGTGATATGAAGTAAGCAAGTTGAGCTGCTGTCAACCATGAAGATGAGTATGTTTTATATGTCAACCACAGATAATGGGGTCTATCTCCTCCACATTTATCACTTTCTCATTATTTAATTTCTCAGCAGAAATCGCATTTCACAGCATTAAAAAAAAATTAGAAAAGCAAGTCCATTTATTCCAAACCAGAAATACATAATTTCTTCAAATTGCGTCCAAAAGTTCCACCATGAAAAATGTTTTTCTTGAACATGACAAAAAGGTCAGTCTCAGAGTTAGAAAAAAGTATTTCCATTTATTGCCCAATAGTTATTCTCTCCCAAAGAAAATGTGGGACATGGATGGGAAATTATGAGCTAATATTTGAAGGTATTGTCCTTTCTGATGTGGAAATTGAACTTGTTTTTATAGGCTAACTAGACTTACATGCTTCGACAGTTAGCTTCCCTGTTGATGAGCTCATTGCTGGAAAACAAAATAGAACAAAGAATGATAATTTGATATTATCCTGGGTGGTCCCAATGACCAGAAATTATCAGGGGATACTGACCATATATAGATTCTAGACAGTTGAGCATATAAATTAGTCAGGAGAATGGCTACCTGATATAACAGGATATGTGTACAATTTTTGCAGAGATTTATAGGCAATCTCTAATTAGGTGGATAATACCTCAAGCAGTGGGTGATTAAGGCACAAATAATGGATGATTAACACCCACAAATAGTTTGTATTAATACAGAACAGTGGTTTTCCACTGGTGCAGGATAAAGCCTCTTTGGATTTACTTCAGGAGATAGAGAAAGTGGGGAAAGAGGGAGCACGTAAATGGGATCTCCAGGCTCAAACACAACCTCAACCAGAACAGGTCTGCTTTTATCTCTTCTGTTTGTTTAAGATTTTACATAAGCCCTTCTTTGGTTAAAGGGTTTGGAAATGAAAAAAACTTTGAAACCTCCCACATAAACTATATTTAAAATACTTATAAAAAGCAGTTCCTAAATTATCAAAATGATTTTTTCTGAAGAATAAACTATAGTGTATTGTTATCCAATATCTGCTGAAAATTGGTAAAGGCCAATTATTGGACAGAATCTAGGATTAAATTCTGTCAGTTTCCCACAAAGTTAAGAATCTGATAAAGGAATGCAAACATTTAAACTTAAGTTGGTGGAAGATTGCATGAAAACTGTGATGATTTTCACGATGAAATGGCTTACTGAGCAGAATGAGGATAAACTGTTGTACTTATTTCTATCAGTGCCATGTTTCTCAGACTCATATTCGCTGCACCTAACTTCCCATTGTGCAAAATAAGACTATTTCCTTCTACTCACCTTCTATAAATCCCACTTGGGAAGCTAGTGATGATGAACTCTGCAAAGTGGGAGTTTTGAAAATATCCAATTCAAGGAAATCCTTATAGGTATGCCCAAATCATTATATGGTGAAGAATCAATTGCTCAGGACGGATTCTCAGTGCTTACTTTATGGAAGGAACTCAATTTTCTGTCGCATGTATTTTTAAGGTAGTAAATGTCTTATTTCATTTTTTTAAAAACTAATTTAATATGTCCCATGTTAGTAATGCATTAAAATGAAAAATAGTATAATGTTAGAATTCTTCAGTTAAACATTCTTCAGCTTAGTTTGAGCAAGATGCAAATCACCTCTTTCCAGGAATGATATCAGGTTAAGTGTAATGGTTTTGAGTGTAATGGATTTTTAAGGATTGCATTTTTAGAGAGAATGATTACACCTGGAGGTAAACTACCCATATACAAGTAACTAGCTATTAAAAATGTCTAATTTGACCAAGTATTTTTACTTTCCATGTCTAGGAGTGAAAAGAAACATTAACACCTTAGTCTTGAAAGTAACCCTCTCACACACTTCTGAGCTGGAAGTAATTTAGTTAGTATTCAGGGCTCTACATGCTACAAGTAACATAATGGGAACTGGAACACACACCAACCGAAATGTAGGCAGTGAGCTGCTCTTCCCCAGCCATGGTATTTGCAAGGCAAAGATGTTGATTTTAGCTTTGCTTTGACGCATTGTATCGCATGAAGGACCCACAGAAGAATAATAGTTATTCTTGACAAATTATGGGTAAATCTTGGGCTGCAGGGTTATTTCTAGACTTGGTCTAGAATTTTGGCAGTTTTCCATTCATCGGGAGTCCCCAAAATTAAGTGTTCCTGGAGAGTAATGTTGTTGCCTATAAGAATTGCCTCGAGGGATCTACTGAGCTTTCCGTCAAATGGGCTTTTCCTAAGTGCCAGCAAACACTGCTCTTTTTACATTTGGAATTTTGGAAACCTTCAAGGTTCTAGCTTTATCTACTACCAGTCAATCCCCCGCATTAATGCTTTCAGGATTCCAAAGCATACGCAAAATTTACTAGCTTTCTAAGTGGTAATAGCCTATATGTTTCATATCGTATTTTCTATTTTCTTGTATATCTTCATGGTATTTCTATGATTTCAGGAAGAACAAATATTATCATTGCAATTTTGCAGATGAGAAAATGGAGGCAAATATATGGGCCAATTAGTTGGGTGGTCCTGCTGTGATCTGGTGGAGTCAGAATTAGGTAACTCTCAAATCAGGTTCTCCATCAGCACATCCTGCACTTTAATCTACTGCAGTCATTAAAATAAGCTGCAGCTCACAAACTGAGCCTGTAAGAAATAAAAAGTCCAGGCAACCAGTGGCCATTTCATGCTTCATTTCTGGTTTCAGATAGCTCAGCCTTCTAAATTCCCGGCAAATTAACTGGTTATTGGATATTACATAGAACACCTCATGTAACTTATCAGAATTGCCACTATTTCACAACCTTGATTCAGGTGTTTCCCCACCTAACAAAGAAGGTGGACTAAGCTTTTGACAGGTTCTTCCCTCCAGGGTTGGGAGAGGTTCCCAGCTTTATTCTCCGAGTAGCTGACTGTCACATCAGCAAACTCCTGCCCATCCCATTCCCCTAGATTTTGACTTCCTGGTCAGGTTTCCTCTTGAAGAGTCAGCCAGACTCTTATAAGGGTAGGGCATCCTGTTTCACATCTGATATTAATCACTTACTCTGATTCTCTTCTGTGACTCTCTTAAGTCTGGTGTCCATTGGAATCTGTAGGGGAACTCTGCGTTTGTCTGACAAAAGTACATGCTTGTGGAAGCAGCTTAATGTATAAGGGCAAAGGGGTATCTGTGTAGCTGGACTCCTCAGAGCTTTTAATATGCTAATATAAGGGATGAATTTCCAAGAGATAAATATCATAGACAGAATTTCTAAAATGTATTTGACCACAGAACACTTTTTTCATAGAGCCTCTCAAGAAATTAGAGATCTAGATTTGAATCTTAACTCCTTTTAATTGTTAGAGTCCTTGACTTTTTTTGCCCCTCTTTCACATCTATGAAGGTGAATTTGTCTATTTCTTGGGATGTAGAAATTAGCTGCTTGTAAAGGGCATAAACAAGGGCCTTGATAAAGGTTGATTCTCTTTTTAGAGAAGCGATAATGGTATAATGGTTCCAGTGATTTTTTCCTAGTTTATAATTTTTAAAGCATTGCTTATAAGATGGCTTTGGTGGTTCCAAAGTTGGTTTACCATTTTCCCAAATGCCCATACAAAAAAAGTTAATAAAAACTTCATAATTTCGATATATACAGGAACTATCCATATCTTTAAAAGGCAACAAATGAGTTTATGCCTTAGGAAGGTCCACCTAGAAAAACAGTCATTGCTAAACACTTGGTATTTTCACTTGCTTAGTCATGGAGGCAGTGGCTGTGTCAGATTAACGCTCTGTTAGTGGTAAAGATTTGCAAATGGAATGAGCGCTAATTACTGGAGGAAAAACCACTTGACAACTAACTTCAGACATGCTTTCATCCGAGAATAATAAAACCTGGAAATGTCACTTTTTCATCTTGAAATTTTTTTCCATCTGAGTTCTAGCTATTATTTGGAATGGAAATAAGGCAAGTAAGTTTAAGATTAGACATAAAATTGACCTAATTCACATTGCACCTTTGTAAGGTACCTACGTACTTACCATTAACTTGAACTGACGAGGCATTTATTGACAAGGCTCTTGTATTCCTTATTTTCTGGTTTAAGATGCTATGGATTTTCTTCTTTCTTACTGCCCTTTGCTCAGCAGAGGGGAACTGGAACACCATAATGACATCTGCTTTCACACCATCTTCCTCTGGACTGTGACAGGCAAGAGAAAGGTGCATATTCAAGGAATACATCCGGTATTATCTTACACCCTTCCCTGTATTTTCTTCCCCTGAATTATGCCTCAATTGCTGCAAGTGTCAAGAACTAATCTCACATTAACATGCATCTATATGTCACTCTCTGACCCAAGATTATTTCACATGCTCCCTCGTCAAGTTTTCATTGTTTTGAGTGCATTTTCCCCATTAATTTGAAGGTTTGTTATAGCAGTTGGTAAAACTCAGACATCAAAAAATTATCATCAAAATCATAAACTCTGAGAATTGAAAGAAACTTTGGTGGTCTCTTCTGCCAATCACTCATGGTCGGATACCTGAATCACCTCTACAGCATCCATGACAAGTGGTCCTTTAATCCCAGCACAGTAATTAAAATGATGGGAGAATTTACTTCCCTAAAAAGGCTATTTCTCTTTGGTCAGCTCTGATTTTAAGAGAGTTCTTCAATTTGAGTTGAAATATATCTCTTTATATCTTCCATTTAGTTGGGCCTAGGTTACCAGTTGAGACATACATAAAACGTCAGTTCCCTCTTCGACATAAAATATTTGAAGACAGTGATATTCTTGGTCCCTGAGTCTTCCCCAGATTAGACATGTTTAGTTCCTTGAACTTTTTCATATAAACAGGTTCAAGTCCCTTCACCTGTGGTACTGAATTTTTACACACTCTTAAAATAGGAAAACCAAACAATTTAAGGTCTTTAAAAAAATTGAAACATATGTATTGATCTTCCATATCTCTTATTTTTATACTTAAAAGATGCAAGCTCTAAAAATCACTAAAGGCCTATTTTCCTGAATCCTTTGACTAAAAAGTGAGGAAATCGTATTGATTCTGAGGCATTTTATATGTTGTGGTCCATTTAGGCTCTGGAATGTGAAGATATAAATAATCAGAATTTTATGTCAAATTGGAAAACATATAACCAAGTAATTTTCCCTCTAAATCAGAAGGAAAACATTGTTTCCCAGGTGGAATTTCTCTGGACCCACACAAAAACTTACATAGTGAAAATGGTTACAAATTTAAAGGAGTTCATAAGATTATGAAAATGTTGCTAGAATGTTATGGCAAACCAGAATTTGAAAATAGAAGGCATGAAATCTGGAAAGTTTCAGAAAATATGTGCTTTTTATCTCCTAAATATTAGAGAATTTGTCCAATTTATATTATTAAATCCTTCTAGAGGTCACTAGTTACACTAGGAACTTGGAGTAAGTCTGCCAATAAGGCATTAGTCAGATGGTGAGAAAAGTGATTATTATTTCCTTCAAATAAATCTGTCCCAATATATTCATTTTCTTTAGGAAGATGAGTCATAGAGGCCCATAGGTTTGCACCTGTTACATCTATGTTCTGCTATGTGCTTTCCAAATAACACAATTGAAACCTCTGAGCAATTTGTGCAACTGATATGAGTCTTCCTCCTCCACCACAACAAACAGAAAATTTATTAAAACAAGAACATCATTTTGTTTGGGCATGCCTCCTGTCACAAAATCTTCATTGAAGGTAAAACTTATGATCCCATTTTGTAGTCAACTTTGCCATCTTAATATTTTTGAAATGACATGTCTATTGAAAGAATACAACTTGGTTCATGCAGTGACATGCTGCTGGGTTTTCCCAAGGCCATGGGTTCTGGTAGGCCTAGGCCTTACAATTGGTTGATGGGGTTTGAATCCTGATTCCGTCACTTGGGGAAACTGTCACTTGGGGAAATTTGAACATATCACTTAACTTCCCTGAGTCTTAGATTTTGTTTTTACAAAATGGTGGTCAGCCCTATATCTTGAGAGTGTTGTAGAGATAGTATCTATGAGAAACCCTAGCCAAGAGCCAAGCCCATAGTGACAACAATAATGAGAGTTTCTGTCTCCTTTGCCCTTTGTCCCTGCAGGCTGTGACTCCACCTTTGCCCAAACATACGTACGTCAGTCTGACCACTTGGTTCTTGATATAATGCTTGTTCAAGGCCGAATCTATAAATATCTCATCCACCTGTTATTACAAGAGAGAAACTCCGTATAAATAGGATTTTTTATGATAAGAATATACCCCTGATTAAATGTTAAAGCAATAGAAAAAAGTTTTAACATGGTAATTTCATTATTTAAACCAGTGGTTCTCAACTATCACAATGCAACAGAATCATTTGCAGAATTTAAAAAAAAAAAATTATAGATGCTGGCACCTCTCTCCCAGAGTTTTGGTTATAATTGGTCTGGAGGGGACCTAGGCGTTCATATTTGTAAAAATCTCCCCAGGTGATTCTAATGTGTAGGTATTTGGAGTAGAAGATATCTTCCTAAAAGTCCATGGAAGGTGAAGCAGAAAGATACAGAGCAGAGACTCCCGGGACACGGAGGGAGATCTTGAGAGGTGATGGAAAGAACCTTGGCTCAGTACTGGGTTTGAAGCCTATCCTGCTGCTCATGAACTGGGCGACCTTGGAAAAGTTACTGAACCAATTTGAACCTCAGTTTTCTAACCTGTAAAACAAAAATGTTGATATGCTACTCATAGGTCTGTAAAGGTTAAACATATATAAAATGCTGGCTATATTTTGGTAGTGAACTGCTGGAGGCTCCCTAGCACCCATCCTGGCATTACAGGTCTCAGATTTCTCTACAGGTCTTTGGTTGTCAGTACAGGGAAGAGGCATTAGGGATTTAGGAGGGAAGCAACAGACTTTTTAATTGTTGATTGTGTGGGCCCTAGGGTAAATTAAGAGGAAGAAAGAGTAAGGTGGTGTTGCAGGTTTAGGTCAAAGTTGTGTTAGTTTATGTCACCAAGGAAGGAGAAGAAAAGTTACTGTTTTGGGTCTATTTGTAGGGAATTTTAAGTGCCTGCCACAGCATCATGGTGCTGTGGCTTATCACATGGATTTTGGCTTCCAGTATCCCATAGTGACCACTTGGTGGTAACAGTGTCATCTGAATGCTGGCACTGCATTTCACTTTTGAAAGATGAGCCAAATGAGCAAAACTCATGTCTAAATGGCACTTGGACATATTACATGAATTTCCCTGGCATCATGTAGATAATAAACTGGGACTTAAACCTACGTCGGTCTGTAGGCCATCTCTTTTTATCAATCACACAACCTCCTTGTTAAATATGATGTACATTTTACTTCAAATTCTTTCATAGAATACATAATAAGTTATAAAATAAACAGTTGGTGGACTTAAAGATAAAGTATAAAACTTGTAAAGATATAGTTGGTAATATATTTGTAAACTTAAGATCAAAGACAGTATTTAGAAAATAGAGAAATTGCTAGAATCCAAAATATACATTTACTGCTTTTAAATAAGGAAAGCTTAAATGGGCTGAGGAGGTGTGGGGTTTATAAGGTAGAAACGAAACTGTTTTGGAATATATGTTTTCACAAGAGTGACACTGTTGTAGTCATTTCTCTTCTTGTCACCCACAGCCAGTCCTATTAATCAGTATCTGGGGGAAATCCAAAAAAAAAAAAAAAGGCAAACAAAAACAACAGGGAGAAAAGTGATGAATATTAAAACGAAGAAAAGTAAATAGCAAAAGTTTGGTTTGTAATTATCCTCTGAAATTCCATGTGAAATTGATCCCTTGGCTGTTTGTAACTTGGTGGTGAAGGTGTTGGATTAAGTTTTTGACTCTGGATGACATCATTCATCTGGCAACATGCCTGCTGAAAAGAATATCTAAACCCAGCATCAATTCCATCTTGAAATAGTTTAGTTGTCTAGGAAGATAGGAGATGAAAGAATAACAAAAGAAGAATCTAGGTAGAAGTAACTTTGGTAATTACAGACATAAAGAAGTTTCTTCTTTATAATTCAAATTCTAGGACCTGCCCCTATAAAGCCTCATTGATTAGGTCTGGGGTGAGGCCGAGGATCTTCAGGTGATCCAGGTAGCCTGAGGAAAACACTTTGAGAAACGCTGGGGCGCAGGGACTGGCTGAAAGTGTTCCTACACTAATGAAATTTACAACAAGGAAAATTAGAGAAAACATGAGCATAAACTTGATTGCTGAATGAAGCTTATGTACAAATTAGCTTTCTAGATATCCCGAAAAAATGTTTCCAGGCAGATTAAAGCTTACCTCATAAGAAACTTTCTGCCAACACTCTGGCATTCTAAATTCTCAGAAGTTTTGGAGGACAATTTTTTTTTTTTTAAGCTATGTGCCAGCTTGTTATAAATTTATTATTCACACAACCTAATAGAGATAGTGATTTATAAATCTATCCTCCCTCCCTTCTGGAGGCATTTGTAGAGTTTTGTAGTTGGAGTTAGTCTCCTGACATTGAATAAAAGACTCCTTTTCAGTGTAGTACTTCGTTATGTTTGATGATTTTGAAATGCTGGAAATTGCACTGAGATTAAGTTCTAAGAGGGCAGTTGAAGGTTAATTGGGTGTTTAATGAAAAAGTTAGGGAGAGGCTGTCAACTCAAACAAACAGACACGCCCAACCATTCTGCTGTCATTCCCGAACTAACTCTTTACATATGTTGCCCGCCTTTCACTATTGGATGCTCCCACCTGGATCCTCTCACAGCAATCTTTGTATTTACATAGACAGTGTTTCAGGGCTGCGACTGCAAGCTTCAGATAGATATGCTTCTGAAGATTCGCCAATGGAATATAAAAGCAGTTTCTTCCACCATCACACCAGATGAGCCCCTGAGAACTACAGGAACCAAAAACATGCCGTGAAGAAAACTTTAGATCCTGTTGTGTTCTCTTAATTATAATGAGTACCACACAAAAGATGTTATTAGAGATGCTTTTAAAAAAACACAGCTTTGGTGTTAAATAAGAGTTAATTGAAGTTGTCTTGCTACCAGGGCTGAACTCAAGACAGAAATAGAGAATAGAGCACAACTGTATTTAAGTCTCTGGTCACAGAGTCAGACATTCAAGGGCCTCACTGTCTGTCGCCAATCCCTCACCCGTCTTCAACACCACCACTACCTTTCAGTCTGGGCAATGCTGTTTTCTGGCACGGCCCTGGTTTTCCTATGTCCTTGCCCTTCTCAGGCTATTCATTTGGTCTGTAGCAACCTCCCGCATTCTGCTAGCTCTGCTTTTCTGAATCATAACTCTCCTTCAAGGTCTGTTTCAGATGATACCTTCTTTGGGGTTACTTCTTAAACCTCAGAGTAATCTTTCCTCCTCCTGTCTTAATTTTTCTTATCCCTCTTCTGCCTTCTACTCTTTAACATAGTTGTTTATGCAAATATACTATCTTCTCTACTAAACTGCAAACGCTTTATGGATGGGGATGGTAATTCATCTTTTCATACTCTACATATGCAGGAATGTAGCATGTTTTTGTTGAATGAATGAATGAAAGTGAGAATTTATTTATCAGAAAGACTTGCATTTACCAAGAATCTTTTACAGGAATTTTCAATGAGCTTAACATAAGATTGTGATCAGTGATCCTGGAGAAAAAAGAAAACTGACCATGAATTATTCAAAGGGAATTTTTTTCCTTGTTGACATTTGCAGGTAATTTGATTCCTTGTGGAAAAAATCCTCCATGGTGAGACCACATTAGTTACATTAGTAGAAATAGTTATCACTGTTGTCTGCCACCTGTGCACCAAGCACAAACTCCATTGTATTTGAGCTCATTTGCTTTTCACATCAACCCTCTGAGATGAATACTATTATTTTCTGCATCATATAGATGAGGAAGTGACTTGGCCAAGGTGACACAGCAATAAGCCAGCTGACCTCAGGTTGAGCACACAGGTGGGTTCCTACTAAGAGCTCCTACCCACTGACGTGTAGCAAGCAGCATGTAAGGGGACCAGAAACTGTTAACACACTCTCCACAGGCAGCCTGTTTTCTTTGATTCCAAAAATGAGGACCATAATCTTGACAGTTTTTGTTGCAATCCTTTGAAGTTGTTATTGTATCTATTTAAAACTCTAGATTTTTGGCAAAACCCAAGATTCAAGATGTCAGCTGTGAATCATTATCCTAAGCCTATATAGAATATGGACAACCTGAGCACTGATGGTGCTCACAGGATTTTGAGGCTTGTTGGCCTTCTGGGAATCAGGTCACTTTGTTTTCACAAAAGTCCTCTTTTTAACTCCCACAGCTTTGAGCCCAGTGCTGTGTCCTCTGGAGAGGGTAGTTGAATCCAGTGTCATATGGGGTCTGTGGGTGTGTGGGTGGAGTGCCAGGGAAATACAACTTTCTGATTACCCTAAACTAGGAGGTAATGATATCACCAAATGAGTTGTGACCTTATGTGGTGTTATCAAACATTTCTTTGATTACACTAATCCTTCCTCAGTGTTTCTTTGTGGAATGAAACAGATAGACATCTATGACACATATAGCAAGTAGCAATATATTGGATAACCTTATCCCAAATTGGTTTGTATTCCTGAGATTGAGAGGCCAAGTAAATTCATAAAATTAAAAAGTTTGTAATTAACAGTTATAAAGGATAAATTGTTAACTTTCAGTGTACCAAAAAAACCTAGATCTCCAAATTACCTTTTTAAAAGAGGAAAATATTTAATTTGTATCTATTTAAAGTTGTACTAAAGATATTTAAACCAGAATACCAGAAGCAAAGCCAGGTCATTATTTAGAAAGTTCCTGTCCTCTCCAGGTGTGTTGTCCTTGAAATCTCTAAATTTGATTATTCTATCAAAGAGAAAGGGAGAGAGAGAATCATTTCTCTTAGACTCTTTTATACTGTCTGAATGATAAATGATAATCTAAGTAGGTTATCCAGCACAGTGAAGACTGTGCTATGTTTATAACTTTATAAGAAAGTTTAGAGATGGCTCATATTGCTTCCTTTCTCAAAAAAATTCCCACAGAAAACACCTTTCACATCTTTCCTCCAATCATAGATTGTTTATGCTAGACACAAATATGCAAATATATCCATCAACCTCCTCCTTCTCTCTATTACAGTTGCTTCTACTGTTTCTTCCTCATCAAAAGCTGATACTATTTTTGTATAGTAATAGT